CTGCCCACCACAGGTATTGAAACCAGATTTTTAGCGTTATATGCCCTCAGATTTGCTTCTGAGATACCGGGAGCAATACTGATGAGAGAGCTCACAAAGGTTTCCCATTCGTTTTATTTTGTCTTGTGATAGTAACTGTCATTGCATTTCATTTGTAGTATAAATAAAGATTATTCACTTTCTGTAATTTGACTCTTTCTTCCTGAAGTACTCAGTTGTAGATCGGCGAGATTAACAGACACATTCCGTAGCTCGTTATCTTTCGCTTTCGAACATCCAGTTAGATTGTTTCTAACTCACTGCTCTGAGGGAAATCCGCGAACCGGAAAATAGCAGAACGTAAAGTTGAACCGCAAATCTTTTGTTTAATTGGTTACTTCTTAATCAACTTTTTATGTATTTATTTTTTAAAAAACATTCCGAAACGTACAGCACTTTCTGAATAAAATGCAACTAATCATTTGATTAACAAGTACACAAATTATATCATGTGAATCAGACCGATTACATCTCAGATCTTCATATTTATATATATTGTCTTATCAATTCACAAGTAGAATGACATTATAGCTATTAATGTTAGAAAAAAATTCGAATTTGGAAGCACTATATGGGAGTACAATCACGTAATGCCTTTAAAACATTTAGCAAAATTGCGCGAAAATATTTCCTTTACAATAACCTCCAATCTTTAATGCATTATAGTTAAATTTTTGAATAGTAAATTAATCAATATTACATAAAATTAAACGGATATATTTGTATGCCAAATAGATCATAGGAGGCAAGATTAATTTAAGGTTTAAGTTCCCACGACTCAAACATAGGCTGATCCTGTTGAAGAGAAAGACATTTTAAGTTTGATCTATTTGAAGATATTAAAAGTTAATATTGATTTAGATAAAGAGATTCAAATTTTACTTTTATTTAAGCTGAAGAAATTCGAACTTGAATTTTCGCCAAGTCATCAGGTTGAATAACTTCAAACCTATAGTTTGGCCCAGTTAAAGAAATTAAGGAATTAACTCAGTTCAGACGAAGAAATGGAAGTTTACCGCTTCGCTCATTTCAAGTAATTAACGCTTACGAGTTTGTTCATTTACCGGGGATTCAGGATTATAGCCTCACGTAGTTTTAAATATTAAAACGTAAAGCTTCATTTAGTTGCAGAGAGGTTCAAGTTTAATGCTTAGGTCAGTTGAAGATATTCAGGTTTTAGGAGCTCAATTATTATTTAAAAAAAAATCAACAAAATAGATAACCAAACTCGTATCATTACTATCTGATATCTCCGTTTCGAGCAATATCAGCTCTCATTAGTGCAGCTACACTGATGGTAAAGAATCTCGTGTAATGGAACATTTTATGAATATAGATGAGAAACATTCGCCTATAAATTAATTTGTATGTTTCGCTTACTCCTACTCAGAAATCAATAAAAATCTTGAGTAACTTCAGGCGCATCACGAGCTATGTTATCAAAAGAAATACCATCTCATCTTTTTTTTTCTTTA